AAAAATGATGGGTTGAGTGACTGGAAAGATGTGAAGGCACTTAAAGAGCAGGAAAGAGGGCGAGAGAGTTTCAAATGGAGAGCAGTCCTGGGTGATTGAGGATTGGGATGGTGAAGTGTGGTGCAGTATGGGTCACTGGAGTTGAGACAATCAGGAAATTCGGAGGCAGTGCGTTTGATGACTCAGCCTCCTCGATGTTGTCTTCACGGAAAAGGTAGTATTCACTTCGTTTCCACTCAGCAAGTAGTTATTAGCAGTCTGTGTGGCAGGGACTGTGCTTTGACCTGGTTAAAGAGGGTAAGAGAAGATGGAGTCACAAGGAACAGTATAAATATTTGGGGCTTTTCAATGTCCAGTTTCAGTTTTATGGTCGCTGTTCATTTCCACCTTGGTCTTGGCTATGCTTATTTAGAAGCTCTTTTTTTTTTCTTCTCTTTTTTAATGCTAAGTCCTCTCGAGAGTACCCCTAAAGTTCCAGTTTCTTGAACTAAGTGGGGGGACTTTTTTCTTCTCCATCCTTCAAGTTGAAGTCTCCCTCTCTTTTTATCTGTGTTTTGGTTCCTGGGCTGTTCCCTTACTATGCACCAGGCTAACAGATAACCCACAGCTGCCAGACCATCCTTGCCCGGCCTCTGTTATGTATGAAAGTGGGCGTACAGACCTGTCATCTGCCTAGATCTATAAATCCAACCTCTGTACATGAACACTGTGATCAGTAACACAGTTTGATATGGCATCAGGTGTGTGTATCATTGCCACCCACTTTCATAGGCATTTTTGTTTTGCTTTGTTTTTCTGGGGGGGGCGGTAATTAGGTTTATTTATTATTATTTATTTATTTATTTACTAGAGGTACTGGGGTTCGAACCCATGACTTGTGCATGCTAAGCATGCGCTCTACCACTGCACTTCCCCACGACAGGCATTTAAAAAAAAAATATTTCTTTGTATTTATTTCTTTTGCCACCGGATAGTCAACCTAAAGCAAAATTTAATAAAATGTTCATTGCAGTCTCAGGAATATCAACTTATCTATATCTGTATACTTTATAATGCCATGACCCTCTTTGACAATTCCTATTATTTTAATATTTTTCTGAATAGAGGCAACTTTTGGCATTCTTGTTTTGATTGTGATAATAATGTGACATCTCTGAAGTAGTAATCAAGATAGGAAATCCTTTTTAAATGCTGCCCCTTATAGCTCAGATTCATTACAGCCTTACTTGTCTCAGAAATATTTGAATACAAAAATGTATTAACTCCACCATTGTTTCAAAGAAGGCAGCGATGCAAAAGGGAAGGTCTTTCCTGTGGACCGTTACCAAGTGCACAAGAAAGTCAAGTGATTAATGCTTGCATTCAGTCACCAAGCAGTGTGGGTCATGGAGCCCTTGTGCGCCTCTCTCCTTCCTCAGATGGTGCTTGCCAGACTCTTCCTCAGCCTTACTCGGGGTGAAGAAAAATGTCACAACAGAGGGGAAGCCATGCACCCTGGGACTGCTTCAGTGTTTGTGGCGCTGGTCATAGTAGCAGAAGAGAACGTGTGGCTGTCATTTGGGGATAGGTAGCAGGGCGCTGGCATCACTCAGCTCCACGAGCATGCCAGGAAGCTTTGTGGGAAATTCTTCTCTATGTTGGGTACTGGGAGCCAGTGGCCCTGTCCTGCTCTAATCAAGGTGCTCCCATTCCCTGGAACTTGTGCCCTGCTCTAAACTGGTTATTCCCATCCACAGGAACATTCTTAGTGTCTCAATCAACCTCCTTGGTCATCATAAAATTCTGTATCAAGAAATTCACCTATTTTCAGGAGTCTGATAACCCATTTCTTCTCCCGCAGCTACGTCCTCTTACTGTAATCTCTTTATAAAATTCTCAGGCCCTTCTCTTTCTTACTTTGTCTCTTTCATCTCACAATAGCAAAAACAATTACTTTTCTAAGGGATTCACTTCTTCCAAAGCTTCTTATATTTTCCTATGGTCAGTACCTAGGTTTGAATGTGGAAAGTTTCCATGTCATTTTAGGAGTGGATTTTTGTCCAGAAATCCTCATTTTCTAGGCTGTACTATCAATCTGTAGTCTGGAGATTGGGTTACAATTTAATTCTCCTTGAAGCCTTCATTTAAGTTTTGAGGAGCGACCTTGGTATTTGCCTTCCTTAAGAGAGAGCATAGTTACAGGCCACGGGTCTCTCTTCTCCCCAGTGGCCAAGGGCACATGATCTGGGTGGCCAGGAGGGCAGGAGACTCCCCAGGTGTACCACTCCCTGTCTGGCACTGCTCCCTGGATGGCAGTGCTTCACGGAGATTCTTGGTAGTGGCTCCAAAAGTGCCTCCTGGCATTGGCTCCGTGCTGTCATCAGCCTCATTGCTGACAGCCATTGGCAACTTGCCTTGTGTGAAAACTTTCATCCTCCCGCACACTGGCAGCAACTTCCAAGGTCATTGGTGCGTCTCCAACATATCTTCCTACGAGAATGTGTTGCAGTCAGAAGAGTCCTGACCTTGCCGGACAGACCAGCCTAGTTTTAAATCTCCATCTACCACCTCCTAGCCACGGTACTTAGGACTCGCTGTCTAATCCTCTGAGTGTCAGTTGTCTCATCTGTAAAATGGAGACAATAACATTTCCCTTACAGAACTGTTGTAAATATTAAATGAAAGATGTCTAATGACTCAAGAGTGGCTGGCAGATAGTAGGTGCTAAGTGAAAGATGTTACTATTATTGTACCTAGAGTGCGTTGTCAGCTTGGCGACTTGGCATTGATTTTAGCACTTCCTTTAGACGTAAAAAATTTGTCCTACAGGGAAGGACAAATGTCATGTGATATCACTCAGATGTGGAATCTTAAAAAATGACACGAACTTATCTGCAGGACAGAAGGAGACTCACAGACTTGGAAAACAAACTTCTGGTTACGGGGGAGTGGAAGGGAGGGAGGAATAAATTGGGAGTTTGGAATTGGCAGATACAAACCCATGTACAGAACAGGTGAACAACAAGGTCCTACTGTATAGCACAGGGAACTATATTCAATGGCTTGTAGTAACCTAAAATGCAAAGGAGTATGAAAAAGAATATATATATATGTATAACTGAATCACTGTGCTGTATACTGGAAACTAACACAGCATTGTAAATCAACTATACTTGAAAAATGCTAAAAAAGTAGGAGAAAAAAGCACTTGTTCTTAAAGTTTTTTTTTTTAAGACGTTTATTTGAAGCTCCTTTAAGAGAGACACTACCCAGCATCACTTAACTCCACATCCACCTTCTCTTAACGCCCTCTTGCTGTGCCTGGATGAAGAGCTCTAGTTTCTGTAGCTGCGTGACGCCTCCTGTCCAGGATCTACCTTGAAGAGCTCAGTACAGCCTGTATGTTCTCCCTGAACTTAGAAGGCAATTAGCAAAAATCTCACATGTGTCTGAATGGTTCACTGTGGGCATAGAGCAGTCTCCTGCCCGCCTTGGCGTACTTTGGTGCCCAAATTAGTAAAGTCTCGCAATAAAGCTCAAACTAGATGTGGAAACTAAAATTTCACAGAAATCTTAGACTGCCCTTTTGTGTAGTTGTTATGTATTATGCAGCCAAGCTTGAACAATAACTGTCATTTTCAAGCAAAATAGAAAATAGTTTGTGTCTTCAGGGCATACAATTCTTCAGAGGCGAGACAAGTGCAAACAGAGCCATGTGCGATGTTGTCTTCTGTGAATGTGATGTTAAAAATGCACACGTGGGTTAGGTGTGGCATGACTCACTATGCAACACAAGAGAAAGCTGGATTTAAAAACTCCAACCCCTGGCTGCCCATTCAGACCTCTACCCACTAGCTACCTCTTCCCTCGGTGGCTGCTTAGATTTTCCTATTTTGAAAAAAAAGGCAAACTATATAGAAAATCAAAATGGAAAGACTTAGGAGAAAATAGCTGAAAACACTTTATCTTTTCCATGCCTGTTTAAAGCAAGGTCTTTTAAAATGCATTGTTTGCATCTGAGGGCTAAAAGCCAAAGAGTGGATGACCTCCCACTAAGACAGCTAAACTCTTGGAAATTTAGGGACACACCAGAGCTTCGTTGTCAGAGGAACAGAAGGTTCGAACCTTGTAACCAGTGGCAACACCTGTAGCCTATCTGAACGAATTATAAGGCTCTTTGGGATGTTAGGATGTGCTTAGCTCATTCTGAGTTCCTGGACCAAAGTGAGCAAGTGTTCGGAAGGGAACTTACAGAAGGAACAGTGGAAGGAACATAATCACATAATCACCTGGATCACACTTTCAATATTAGGACCAACTTCACCACTCATTCTATTTTCACTGGTTTCTAGGTTTCCTTCTCATTTGAACAGTGGCACAGGAGCACATCACTACAGTATTTTTCCTCTCCCAAATTCTAATGGTAAAATTTTTATGATAATTTAATTTTAATCACCAAAATAAAAATATACTTTATTGAGCCCTTCTTTGTGCCTAATACTATGCTCAGCACCATATGGATAGATGATAGGTAGGTAAGTAGATATAGATGAATGATGCATCATCTATCACCTCCAGTAGGGATGGGTAAAGATAACATTTTGAGGTGGAAGAGAGTGAGACTGAATGCATTTAGCCTGTGTGATTTTTTTTTTTTCCTACGTGAAAGAAGGAAAGCGAGTAAGCCCCAGGGCAAAGTAAAGCTTGGAAGAGAGCAAGCAAGTTTTGAAACAGTGGCTATGCAGAACAGGAAGGGAAACAACAGTGAGTTTAAGAAGTAAACAGCAGATTAGTAAAGTCCTGTGATTCTCGGGGGAGCAAATGGTAATCTCATCTTTGCTGTTGCCATTGTCCTCGGCACCATCAGCATCATTGTCATCATCTCCAGAACAAATTATGCTTAAAATGCATAACCTTTACATAATTGAGAAGATTATTCCTTTGAGAAAGTGATAACCACATATGCTAGTTCCATGCTGTAGGGTGATTCCGTTGACCACATTCTCCCTATGCCGGTCTAGGTTGAGCCTGTGATCCAGAGAGGCCACGAGAGTCTGGTCCATCACATCCTGCTCTATCAGTGCAGCAGCAACTTCAGCGACAGCGTTCTGGACTTCGGCCACGAGTGCTACCACCCTAACATGCCCGACGCCTTCCTTACCTGCGAGACCGTCATTTTTGCCTGGGCCATTGGTGGAGAGGTGGGGCCAGTGACTACAGAGATGTAACAAAGTTAATTGAGCATTTTCACCCTACGATTCTGATACTTATAAGTAAAGCTCTATACATTATTTTTGAGATAAGGATGACTTATTTTTCTTTCCCTAGGAAATAATTCTTTCCTTAAGCCATCTTATTTGATCATCTATAGATTAATGGAGTTGCAGAATGTTGAAATATCATTAAGAATGGTTAGCTTTTGAGTGGAATACAGCTCTCAGGGACTTGCATGGGACACTGTGTCATGGAATTTTGCTTGTTTAGGGTTTTTCCTATCCACCTCATGTTGGATTATCCCTCGGCACTCCGTTAGATCCTCATTATGTGCTTCTGGAAGTCCATTATGACAATCCGACATATAAGGAAGGTGAGTGTGTTCTCCATATATTCTGCCTATGATTTCTTAAAAGTTTTGTAACTCTTTCCTTGATTTTAACAGAGTTAGACTTAAAATAAAATAGCATACAATGTTAGAGTTTACCTATACATTTGTCATCCAAATTAGGCTTCTTTTTAGAGTGAAGAGGGCACTGTTAATAATTACACTGGGACAGCAGTCACTAACCAATGCTAAGCCAGGCAGATGGGCACATGTGGTCACTAATTTTCAAAAGTCATTTGCATACTGCTTACTAGGAGGTAGAATAATAGACTTTTCCCTTTATGATGTAAATTAATTCCTAATACACTGTGCTTATGAAACATCTTTCTAAATTCATATATGAAAAACTACCATTCATCACACAGCAAATATTAAGCCTTTGTCATGTGATACGTAAACCATAAATATATTCAAAAACACTTATGCGATGACACTGTGTAATATGATACTGAATTGAAGAGGGGTATTTACATTTGGTTCCTGAATTTACTTAGGTAATATTCCAAAGCCAAAAAATTCAAAGATACAATATGCAATTATCAACAGAAGCAACTCAAGTTATTATTTTACACAAATTTGTGTAATTATTCAACAAATACTGAGCACCAATGATGTGCTGGATCTGTGCTTAGCAATATAATGTGAGTGAAAAGCAGATACTGTCCCCACCCTCGTGGACACTGTAGTATAGTGGGAAAGAGAAACAATAAAATAATCACAACAATACAGAATTACAACATATATGCTAATTGATCCAAAGGGCCAATTCGGTGGTCACATATGGGTAAGTCACCACTGCAGAAAGAAGCCAATTAACTCAAAGTGGATAGTCTGGATTTATGAAGTGTTTGAGGCCCATACCCTCCTTCCTTATGATAACTGTGTCACAACAAGAAATGTGTCTTATTCATTGTTCATTCCCACAGTGCCTACTGTAATGCTGTTCACATAATAGATTCTTAGTAATTGTCTGTTGATTGAATGACTGTTGAGTTATTAAAAGAATGGTGATAAACTATAAAGAAAGTTAATCATTAGTACTTTTCTCCATCAGCAGATGGTTTTTAGACCAAGGGCTTTTCACCTTTACATAAATGTTACTAGACTTTATCACAAAACAATATAAAATAAACTTTTGTTGAAGTCCTCTGTATTCCAATGAATGACTTTAGAATTTCCATTCTGTTAAATAATTATGGAATATGTCAGCTAGGCCACACAAACATTTCTCCCATGGTGTGCCATGTTAGTCAGAAAGGGCTGCAGACCGTACGGTGCCTCATCTTTCAATTCCTCGTTGTGAAGCTGAGCATTGCCTTCCATTAACCTTTGCTTGTATTCCTTTCTCTTGTGAGATTTTTAAGGAAAATTAATGAACCCATTTCAACTGAATATGGAAAAAAAGTTTTCTTTTTTAGGAACTCAGACTCACTTTTAATTGTTCTTGTTTAAATGGTCTTGTTCCAGGCTTAATAGATAATTCTGGACTGAGGTTATTTCACACGACAGATATAAGGAAATACGATGCTGGGGTGATTGAGGCTGGCCTCTGGGTGAGCCTCTTCCATACCATCCCTCCAGGCCTGCCTGAGTTCCGGTCTGAGGGTCACTGCACGCTGGAATGCCTGGAAGAGGTATGCTGCTTCGAAGTTTCCAGATTAATCTATGTTCTCAGAAAACGATGTTTGGAAAATTCCATGTTTGTTTACCATTAATTTTTGTTGTTGTCATAGTGTAAAACAATTATTTACAATTTTAGCCAGACCTTTGTTGCTTTCTTAAATCTTGAAGGTCACAGGAGTGCAATCTGAAAACAAGAAGAACTTTCAGGGTGTTTTCTTTCCTACATTCTGTCTCCTTTGTTTGTTTCATATTGGACACTTCATCTTATCATCTTTACAACTTCTGCCTTTGTTTGTATAGTCCCTTTTCCTCTCTTAACTTTATCTTTTATTCATATTTGTTTTTTCCATGATTTCTTTTCATTTTTCTTCTCCTTTCCTCTGCTTTTATAGATTATTTCCCTTCTTTAACCAACAAGCAAGAATATCTAATATAAAAATACATATTGAATAAGAGAAAACCATATGTAAGTGTTTAATAATGGCTTCTTCCATTTATAGTTCCTTTTTCTTGAATGAAAGTATTTCAACATGGATCATATTCTTCATGAATTAATAGAATATTGGGTTGTATATAGTATGGAAGACTGGTGGAGTAGAAAGATTATTCTCTTCTGAGTTATTTAGACCATGAGTTAAATTGCCATATCATTTACTAGACGTGGAATCATGAGCAATTCATTAATTTGACTTTCCCATTTCAGTTTTCGTATCTTGAAAAGTAGGAATGAATTGTCCTTGTAAGAGTTTCAGTTTGCAAGCTATGAACATACCGGAATCTTCTTGCCTGGAGCTTTGACTGCGTCCTTCCCTCCTAAAAGAAGGGAAAAGAAAGATAATATTTAAGAGTGGTCCAGTTGGTCCTCAGCAAGCATGAATTCCCTTTGTTTTTTCCTGGCAAATATTGCTTCACAAAGATAACACTGCTAGGAATAAGTCAGGAAAAATCCAAATTCAAAATGTCTGGCGGCTCATGCATTCACTTAAATTGCATTGGCTTTTCTTCTCAGTTGCTCCTCCAAGTCTGTTGTAAGGTGAACTGTCTGAACATGCACTTGTGTGGGCTGATCAGGTCTTCCCGTGTGTCCCCCGTAGGCTCTGGAAGCTGAAAAGCCAAGTGGCATCCACGTGTTTGCTGTCCTGCTCCACGCTCACCTGGCGGGCAGAGGCATCAGGCTGCGTCATTTTCGCAAAGGGGAGGAAATGAGACTACTTGCCTATGATGACAATTTTGACTTCAATTTCCAGGAGTTTCAGTATCTAAAGGAAGAGCAAACAATCTTACCAGTATGAATGTTTTGTTGTTTTTCACTGACGGTCACCAAAGTCGTGAGACATCTATCTGCTGAGAATGAGCCAGGTTTCTCCTGGTGAAATGAATCGCTTCTTGTATCCTTATCCTCAGAGCCACCCACCATGGCTGTTGCACAACCCAGATGGAATGTGTTTGATCTGTTTTCCAAAACTGAAACTCGTTTTTTTCTTTTTTTTTACTATTCCCAGGGGCAACTCAAGTTGTTGACTTAAAGAGAAAATGAAAACTTGAGTTTTGAGCACTCAACATCATTCTTTTTTTTTTTTTTTCCACTTAATTCCCCAGTTAACAATGCTTTGGGTTGCAGTTCTGGTAAGATCAGAAGTTTGCTTTCATCATAGGATAGTTTTTGGAGGTTTCATTTCAGTAAAAATAAATATAAGGTAATTCTTTCATTTGATGATGGTATTTGGACATAGTTAATTACACTATCGTGTGTGATCTAGCTTGCAGCAGTACTTGGCGTTATGGTAGAAGGACACAGAAGAGAATCTTATGCCTTATAATAATGAAGGACTGAAATTTTTTTGATGCTTCATCTTGTCCAATTTTTTATTCCATGATCATCAGGCTCAATAATTATATGACTTCCTACTCTTATTCTCTTCTTAAAAATCAGATACTTCAATATTTATGAAATGAGAATAACAGCAATATCTTCTCTTCATGCAGAAATTCCCTCATTCATCCTGAGAATAGAAAGATGAAGTTTGAGAAACAGTGATCTCAAGATTCTTAAGGGCGACACTGTATTTTATGGTGTTGTCTTTGGGCTCTCCAGCCAGTTATACTGGGTTATCTCAGAGCCCCTCAACTGGTGTGCCGTGAGCAGGGCATAAATATGTTGAAGTATGGATCCCTGAGCTCTCTGAATAGCCAGGCAGGGAGGACAAATCTGGTGACCATTACCCAGTGCTCATTCTGGTCCATGAGTTGCTATTTACCTGACTGGAGAGCCATAAAAAATTATTTCCTTTAGGTGCTGATGTGTTAAGAGGTTGGAAAGTACAGAGGAAAAAATTACTAGTAATTTGCTTCACAATTCTGTTTTAAAGAAATAAAGACCTGACTAAAGACCTTTGAAGAAATAACGTAAATGAGGAGATAATCACAGTAACTAGCCTCTGTGGCTAACATTTATGAAGTGTTTAATCTGCACTAAGAACTAATTGTGTGTAATGTCATTTCATCTCCTCACAACAGCTGTGCAAGATAAGTGCTATTTTTCTCATTATTTTTTAGATGAATACATTGTGCCCAGATGATTCATTTCCTTACCTAAGGCCATGCAGCTAGAACGTGGTGGAGACTGGCTGGAGCAAAGAGAGCCTTATTTTTGTGTTTACTTGCTTATTGTACTAGCAATCCTGGAATGTAATAGACGAAAGGTCTTCTTGTAAATCAAATCACTTAATGCGTCCATTCATGTAGCAAATTAAATTGTTGGCCTACAAATGTATTAGATAAATAAAACAGCATGAAACTCCAATCTGAAAGCTTATACTTTTATGTTTCAGGGAGATAATCTAATTACTGAGTGTCGCTACAACACAAAAGATAGAGCCCGGATGACTTGGGTAAGAAGAATTTTATTATTATTAAAATTTATTTGTGGAGAGGGAGGAATCAACTTTGATTTTAGAAGAAAAAAGTAAAAAGCATTCCCATTTGGAAGCATAATTTCTGAATGTCTTGAACATGAAACATCATAAAAGCGAAATCAGAGCTGTTTTAGCATTTTATCAGATTAACTAATGATGCTGTGGTAATATTTGCAGTGTGATTTATTGACTCTTTCGTGAAAAGCTCTCCTTAGTCTTTTAGTTTTTCCTCACCAAATACTAATAAAAGACTGGTGGTCACTAATGACCGTGCACATGAGTCTGGACTTAGATGAATCAAGACTTCAAAAGGAAGAATGAATTCCATGACCTTAGGGCTTCTGATCCAAAGAGAAATCTGGTCCCAACAGATTTACTGGGGAGTTCTGCCAAACATTCAAGAAATAAATCACTCGTGCCTTCCTCAGTCTCTTCCATGGAACGCAGAAAAAGGGAAACACCTCCTACCTACTCATTTTATGAAGTTATCATAATCTTAATACTCAAACTTGATAGGGACAGGATGAGAAAGGTCCACAACGTGCAGCAGATGGAAGTAACTTTAACGAAGTATTGACAAACCAAGTCCAGCATTACATAAAAATGTAATGTTAGGACCAATTTGGGCTTAGCTAAGGAGTGTAAAATTGGTTTACATTAGAAAATGTTTTAATACTATTATACATTAAGAAATTGAAAGAAAAAGATGTACGGTTACCTCAATAGGGGCAGGAAAAGCATTTATAAAATTTGCCAGTCATGAGAGGGGGTAAAGGACATTTAGCCAACCAGGAATTTGAGAGAATTGTCTTAACCAGATAAATATTAGCTGTGAAAAATCTATAACCAATATCAAACTAAGTGAAGTACTAGAAGTGTTTCTTTAAAATTAGGAAGGAGACAAGGATATTTTTTATCGCTATTTCTGTTCAATACTGTAATAGGAAAGAAAAAATAAGATATAAAGATCAGAAAGTGAGAAGCTCAGAAGTAAAACATATTATTCACAGATATCATGGTTTTCCACATCAAAAGCCTTCCCCAAATTGATAATATCTAAAATTAATTGTATTTTTAGTATACAATAAACTACCTGAAGAAAATGCAATTTAAGACTATAAATTCTATAGAAATAAAACCTAGCATTAGATGTGTTTGATCTCTATGGAGAAAATTATTAATCTTTATTGCAAGACATTAAAGAACACCTAAACAAATTAAGAGATACTGTGTTTATGGATAGAAAAGCTCAGTAAAAGAAAGATAATCCTTCTTTCTAAATTGATTTATAAATTTGATATAATTCCAGTAAAAAAAAATCAGAGAGATTTTTTGGTTTGGGGTTTTGGTGTCCTTACTAAGAAATTTTCACCTAGCCAAAGGTTTTCTCTTTTTTTCAAAATTTTTCTAAAAATTTTACAGTTTTAGCTTTTACACAGAGCAAGTTGATTATAAAATCTACATAAAAAAATCAAAGGGTCTAAGCAAGACACTACTAAAAAGAACCAGATGGGAAATAAGCTACTAGATATGAAGGTGTATTTTAAAGCTGTGGTGATTAATAGTGTGGTTGGGGTCCAAAGTTAGAACAGTGGAACAGAACAGGGAACCCAGAAACAGACCTTACAAACCCCCTGTAGGCAAACTTGGTTTAGAATAGACATGGTATTCAGCTAACTGGGAAAGGATGGGCTTTTCACTAAAGAATACTGGCACAATTATGTATCCAGATGACAAAAATAAAATGACATCTTTATCTCCCATAATACATAAAAAATTCCAGTTTCAGGTAGATTAAATATTAAGGTGTGAAGAACCAAATCTTAAAAACGTTAGGAGAAAAATATATAAATATAACTTTATGACTTTGGGGTAGGTAAGAACTTCTTAAAACATAAAAAGCACAAACTATAAATTAGAAGATTGATGAATTTGACTCCCTTAACACTTTTGGTTACTAAAAAAAATACTGTTAAGCAAATGAAAAGATGAGTTTTAAACTGAAAAAACATATTTGACATACATAAACAAAACATTAGTATCCAGCATATAAAAGAAATTCTACAAATCAGGAATGTAAGACAAACATACAATAAAAAAGAGCAAAAGATAAAAATATTTCACAGAAAGAAAAGCCCCAAAAGATAATAAACATGAAAGGATGCTCAGTTTCATTTGAACCAAGGTCATGCGAATGTAAACCAGAATTATTTTGTATCCACTAGTTTGACAGTATTTAAAGTTGCAATTCCAGTGTATTAAAACCGGAACCCTCGTACTTGCTCAATGTAAATTTACAAAATCACTTTGGGGAAAGACAACATTATGTAGTAAAGTTGGAGATTCATACATGCTCTACTCATTTCCATTTCTATGTAGATTTAACCTTCAGGTTACTTTTTCAGGAAGTGTTCCAGGAGAGAAACATAAAATATTCATAGCAGCATAGAATACCACAGGAACAAAAAATTGGGAATAGCTCCAACTGTTTATCAAAAGGAGAACAAATAAATACATTATAATATGTCATATGATATATGAATAGTATATAGTTATGAAAATTGATGAACTGAAGCCACCTATATTAATATGAATGTATCTGAAGAACATAATGTTGATCGAAAAGAGCAAGTTTGCAGCAGACTATATGTAGTATGTTGTGTATCTAAAGTTCAAGAACAAACAAAAATTCAACAATGTACTGTTTAGGGATACATACATCAATAAACTGAAAGTAAGGTGTGATGAAAAGCAATAGAATGGTAAACAAAATATTAAGATAACCATGTCTTTGGTTAGCATGAGGGAGAAGCGGATTACAGATGAGGGTGGTCAGTACAATGATGTTGGCTTTATTTTTCTCATGCCTTGTATGTAATTTTATTCGCATGAAATATTTTACTACAGACACAGTAAATGATTATTTTAGTGTATATTTTGGTGCTCTGCCTGCATACCTTCCCTCTTCAGGGCCAATACAGCTAAACCTCAGCCACTGAAAATATTAGGTAATATGTTCACATCTGTGTCTCTTGCTGGGCGTTGCTATCCATATCAGGGAATGACTCACTTAAAGTTACACCCTCCCCAGTAGAGCAGCCAACAGCCAATAACTCATTGATGTGAGGATACAAAAGACCAACCCCCTTCCTACAATTTGGTACAACTCTAAAGAGCCATCCCGGCTCAAGGGTAGATTAAATATATTTACTTTGGTGTCAGTTGCAGCTTCATTTGTAGACAGCTTCTCCTTTTGCCCAGTCCTGCCCTGCACAGCAAATGCAAGGTGTTATGTTTCACAGTTTGTAAAATCATTGCATACTAGCCACTACGCTAACATATAACTATGAATGATACTACTAAGTTTTTCATCTTCACTTTTCAAGGATAGATGATTTGCTGGGTACAGCATTCTTGGTTAAGTTTTTTTTTTCTTGGAGCATCTGAATATGTAATTCCAATATCTTTTTGTTATGTCTGTCATTTATGATGAAATGTCAGTTGTTCACTGTATTATTGTTCCCCTGTATACAATGTGTCATTTTTCTCTTGCTGCTTTCAAGATTTTCTCTTTGTCTTTGGCTTCCAACAATATGACTATGATGTGTCTAGGGATGACTCTCTTCATAATTATCTTTGGCATTTGTTGAGCTTCTTCTTGGGTCTGTAAGTTAATGTTTTTCACTCAATTTGGGAGGATTTCCACCATTTTTTAAAAAACTTTTTTCTACTCTTTTCTCTCTTCCCTCTCATTCTGGAACTCCAATTACATGTGTGTTCGAATATTTAATATTGTTCTACAGACCTCTGAGATGTCTTCCCTTTCTTTAGTCTTTTTTTCTCTCCATTCTTTGGGTTGGAGAATTTCTGTTGATCAGTCTTCAAGTTTACTCACTCTTCCTCTGTCATTTCAAGTTGCTGTTGAGCCCATCCTGTGATTTTTAAATTTAGTTACAGTATCTTTCAATGCTGGAATTTCTATTCAGTCCTTGCTTAATGTTTTCTTTTCTCTGATGTCATTCCTAATTTGTTCACTCATTTTTAACATATTTACCTTTAATTATTTGAACATCTTACTTTAGCTCTTTAAACATATGTATATCTGTTTTTAAGTCTTTGCTAAATCCAGCGTCTATATCTGCTCACAATCAATTTCTACTAACAACTTTTTTTTCCCTGAGTACAGATCATAGTTTTCTGGTTTTTCTCTTATTTAATAACCTTTGGTTGAAAATTGGACATTGTAGATATATGTCATAGTAACTCTAGATTTAGTTCTTCTGAGGATCTTTGATCTTTTTTAATTTTAGTAGATAATTTACTACTTAGATTCCAAATTTGAAATCTGTCTGCCCCGTGGTATACAGCTGCTAATGTTTATATACATGACAACAATATTATAGAAAATTCAGTGCAATCAAAGATTCCATTGAACTGGCTGATTGGTATCATGTTACTAAACATCCCCCTAATCCTCTGAAATGTTCACTGTGGTGAGAAGTTTACATCATACATATAGAACTTTGAGGAGATTATTAGGTTATTTAAGAAAGGCAACTTTTAAAGAAATAGAAATAATTTTATTAACTTTTATAAGCGCCACTATATTTTTAAAAACCAAATTGTCATTTAGGTGATTATTTTTCAGCCTTAAGATCTATTACCTTGCAGTATCTGAAGAAAGTATACACCATTTGTAGCTCATGTGCTGTATGTCAGAGTTGGTGGAACATATACTGTTCTAAATAAAATATCTCCATTTTCAGGGAGGATTAAGCACCAGGAATGAAATGTGTCTCTCATACCTTCTTTATTACCCAAGAATTAATCTTACTCGATGTGCAAGTATTCCAGACATTATGGAACAGCTTCAGTTCATTGGTGTTAAGGAGATCTACAGGCCAGTCACGTAAGTGGTAAATGGATTTCATGGTAGGGGTAAGGCTGAGCTTTATTTTCATACTAGATTCATCACCATGTTGCGGAATTCCTTTATGTGCTCTTCTATTTGATTATTTTCAACTGGGGAGACCAAGTAAGCTTTCTGCTTGCTATGTCCAGGGCCCCCAAGACTACTCTCAGGTTCAGTGGTTTTCTAGGAAGGCCTAGAGGATTCAGCATATAGTTGGACTCATGACTAATATTTATGACAGTGAAATAATAGAAAGAAAACTGAACAAGAGGAAAAGGCACTTGTGGCAAAATCCACAGGAAACCAGGAGCAAGCTTCCAAGAGACATCTCCCAGTGGAGTCACAAAGAATGTGCTTAATCCCACCAGCATCAGATTGTGACAACATGTATGAAGTGTTGGCAACTGGAGAGACTCATTAGAGACTCAGTGCCCGGAGTTTTTATTGGGGGCTGCCCTCTGCTTAGCAAGTACCAAAATTCAAGACTCCCAGAAGGAAAGCAGTGTTCAACATAAACTACATCGCTTATACAGAACAACTAGGTGCAGTAAATTACTCCTAGTGTTTAGAGAAAGTTTTATGTCAGTGGAGGAAATTGTTGCCCACTTAAGTTGCCTCTGCCAGCCAGAGTTACTCTTCTAAGCAGGTGTTCCTAAGGATGGCTGTATCAGGCCTGCTGTGTGAACTCTTTCTGTACAATTGCATATCACAGAAATGACTGAAGGTAAAATAATCAACAAGATAAAATTATTCTTGCGTTCCTCAAGACTGTATGCTAGAGTTGGGGGGGCAGTTAAAAAGCAAACAATATAAATATAAAATTTCAGATATTAGTAGATGTTATGAACATAATCGAGACAGTGAAGGAAGTGTGTAGCTGTTGTCAATAGGGTGGTGAAAGCTTCTATGGGGAGGCGTCTTAACCCATGCCGCCTGCTGTAACTTCCATAGACAGGGTGGCTTATAAACAACAGATTTGCCTCACAGTTCTGGAGGCTGGGAAGTCCAAGACCAAGGTATTGGCAGATTGAGGGTCTGGTGAAGACCTACTTCCTCATAGATAGCCATCTTGTCACAGTGACCTCATGTGGCAGAGGGTCCAGGGAGTTTTCTCAAGCTGCTTCTATAAGGGCACTTACCTATTTACAAGAGCAGAGCCCCCCAAAATCCCCACTTCCTAATAACGCCACCTTGGGCATTAGGATTTCAACATATGAATCTGGGCGAGGGAGACACAAATATTCAGTCCATAGCAGGAGGTGATGTTTGAGCAGAGACCTAAGTGATGGGGAGTCAGCCATGGAAAGATATACGAGTGGACTCTGCAGAGAGAAGAGCCAGTGAGGGAGAGAAAAGTAAAGGGAAAATGATGTGTGAATGGTGCGGGAAACATGTTTGAAGAAGAAATTAAAAATTCTCTTTTGCATATATTAAGTTTGATGTAGGAAAGAAGGATTTTATCCATTTTTAGTAATACCACAAAGAAGAATTAGGGTGGCTGATGGAAATTTTGGAGCGTAGATTTTATTTTAACATAAGGAAGAATTTTCTAATGATTAGAATTTTTCAAAATGAAAGTGACTGATGTAACTAGGCAAAAATATACACATAAATTTTTGAGGAGGTGTATTTAAGGAGAGGTTAAAAAAGACACCTATTGAGGATGTGGTTAAATGCAGATCTGAAGGAGAATATAATTATGGTCTACTTTTTTGTTCCAAAATTTTATAGGGATTATAAATTAGGAACTAAAAACACTCTTCTTTTTAAATGAAACACTATTCATAGATATATTCTACTGAGTTCCTACCCAATGACCACCAGACCAGAAGTCTGTGTCTATTAAGATACAAATAAAACACTGGCGTAAATTAGGTTGTAGTTTACAAAGCATTTTCACATACATGATTTCATTTAGTTTTTTTGCCACATAAGTCCAACAGATAGAGCAGTATTTGCAGTCCCAGTTATAGAGGAGGAAATGGAAACAGAGATCAATTACTGTATTGCAAATGAAGAAAGAAAATATCAATGAAAATCAAAACAGCCCATAAAATGTCATTCCAAAAACACTAGGATGTAGTCTTGTTTTTAAGATATTATTTCTAAGACATAAGTAGCCTTTTTTTACCTTTAGAATATTTTTAAGACATTGACTGGAAACTTTTCATAATCAAGAGAATGCTTGAGAGAATGTTGAAAACAAATGAACATTCAAAGTTTTGTATTTACAAGATGAATGTTCCACGGTCCAACTATTTTCTTTTGTGTTCAGCTTGTGTGAACCCTCTGGAAATGCTCAGCTCCTGTGTCCCGAGAGCTCTGTCAGTGTCCACCCGTTTGGTCTCCTCCAGGAAATACTGAAGTTGGGTTTTTCATCACTTAGAAAGACAGGGAGAATTGCTTCCCAGAACAAGGCCAGTTTTGAGATGTCATTGCCCACATAAAACCATTTAACTACATGGTTAAATATATTTACTCTTCAAAAAGATGGGTGAAAAAGAGCCTCTGTTATAAAATCCATGTTTGGACTTTAAATCAGCCTTTCAAGTCTAGTTCACCATCACACTGACATAAATATTGTTAAAGGCCAAACCAACAAGGAACTGGCTAAATGATCAGAAAGAGAGAAATGATTTGGGTGCTTTTTTTTTTTCTGTTTTGCTTATAAGAATATTGCTTATTTGGTTTGATACTAATTTGGTACAATACTAAATAGGAATATCATATAACATAGGACCTAGAATCTCATATTTTTACTTTTAATATAATGATTCGTTAGGTGCTTGGTTTAATTTTAAACATTCTGTAGCAATTCTAGGATGAAAGGATGCATTGGTGGGAAAAGAGAGGCCAGTACATCCTGTCCCAGGATTTGTCTGTTGTGGGGGTGCAGGTTTTCTCTGCCTCCTACAGATCTGGCAAGGCTCAAGGAAAAAGCAAAAAAGCTCCCAAAGATCAGATAACAGAATAGATAATGAGTTAGGATAATTTTGTATTCTCCGCTGCACCACAGTTCACCACTGTCCCCACAGTTCCAGTCAGGTTTACGTGATGGGAAGTTCCTGCCTTATTTGTTCTTTCTTAAAAAGAATCAAAAGAAGTGTTTCTATTTTTCTTTGCAGGAAAAATCACATTAGGTTGATAAGGTATAAAAATTACACAGGCTTTTTATAAAGAGTTTAGATAATGCAGGAAAGGGTCTTAAAAAAAGACAAAGGCAATCACCTCAAATTCTGTTAGAAACAAACAACACTAACGTTAATTGAAATGTCATTACAGACATCTCTCTATGGAGGTATTCACGTAAAGATGAACAGATTAGTGATATAAAGGTTATACTTTATGCACTGTTATAAGCAAAAGTATTGCAGTTTAATTTTGTTTTAATTTATCAGAAGAAAAGAAACTAAATTAAAATTGAATAATTGTTGAAATTTAAATAAATGTTGCTGTTATTTTTAACCAGAAGAAATAATATTGTGTAAAGGGGCTCTCAAATGTTGACAAAATAGATCAAAAAAGTTATGAACACATTGCACTCACTTCTTTAATGCCATGTTTCAATTTTAGATGGTAAAACATGAGGACATTCATACTTTCACATTTTCTCCCATCCTCCTTTATTGTACCTCCAAATATTTATCATTTATATTATAATTTTTGAGATTTTTGGTTTTTACATTTAACTCTGAAGCATAATTCTCACAATATCTAATGCAACTTTTATTTCTAAATAGATTTAATGATATTCTTTAATCTTTATATGATTTTAGCATTTCTGAGTTGTTTGAATTTGATTTATCAGGATTTTGTCCTAAAGTTGCTTGATCAAGAAGGGCTTCCACATGCCTTATGCCCTGTGTTTTTTTAATGTTTAAAAATTTCTGCATTTAAATGTGGACAGCATTTGGCTGGGTATAATATTTTGGGGTTATAGCTGTTCCCCCAGTTCAGCAATGTCTTTGGATGAATGGGAAAATTCTTCCTCTACCTGTAGAATTCAGACGTTAAATTCTACATATTTTAATATTGAGCATATGAATCAAATTTTCCTGAAACACAGGAGTGCTCTTTCAGTATGTATATTCACTTCTTTTTTCATTTCAAGGAAATTTTATCTTATATCTACAGTTTTTTTTCTAATCTATTTCAGATTTTTCTCAAGCAAACTTTTTCTTATAATTTTTCAGAAGTGCTTTTCTACTTCTTACTTTTTCTCCCTTAATTAAGTGCTGACTTTGTTTTGTCTTAAATTTATTTCCTTTGGTTTGCTATCTCCCCTTTCATATTGTTCGGTTGTTTTATCATCTTGCATTTGAGCCCTTGTTCAATTGAATTCACGTTCCTATTAAATAACTGTATCGCATGAAACACTGGTGAGAATTCTCTCTGGTATAATTGGTTTAGATCTTCTTCTAGAGTCAGTTTTTTCTGTCTCTTTACATGAAACATGGTATAATTTCCTTTCTTCCTAAGTTTGCATGGTGATTACGTCATTTCTTGCTTATGCTGAGTCAGTTCTGAAACTTATCCTTGCTCTGGTAAAATACAAATGAATTTTGGACTGCCTTCTAAGCAAACCTGGCCATAGCTTGCTTTCTCTCCACAGCACAGTTTGAGATTTGGGTGATATGTCTTATGCACTTACTTTTCTATATTTTGAAGTTAAAGGGCTGTATGCATAGAGGTGGGACTGTAAACTCTATCTCACAACACATTAGTTATTCCCTCCTCAGATTTTATTAAAAATCTATTAGAGGATGTTTTCTAGTTTGTGGGGGGCTGAATACCTTTCGTTAGAAGAATGTCCCAGGCCTTATATTATGCCGTCAGGTCTGTTACAGCTCTCAAGTCTTTGCTTTTAACAGGGAGCTACAGCTTTCCCAGGTACTTCAGATATTCATGTGCTCAGAGAGTGTCAGGAAGAGTAGGAATCGTTCCTTGTTAAGTCAGATATCCTGGTCTCCTTTAACCATTTGATTGGTAAAATTTATGTTGTATCTTTTTGGTCGGTTTGCTGGTATTTTTAACTGTTTGTTATTTATTTTTTTAAAGTCAAATTGCTTGAGACAGAACTTACGAACAATAAAATACCCCTATGTTTGGTATACTGTTAGAAAATTTTCTCAGACGTGTTCCCCTGTGTAACCATATCACAGATGAGATGGAGTGTTTTCACCACCATCAAAAGTCCTCTCACACCTCTGGAGATCATCCCACCTCCCACACAAAGCCCAAGAAACTATGAATATGCCTTATGTCCGCTATTAGTTTGATCTTTTCTAGATTTTATAAAAGTAGGATCATATAGTATATACTCTTTTGTGCCTGGCTTCTTTAATTCAAAATGTTTCTGAGATTCATCTATACTGATGAATATTTATGGACATTCATATATACATATAACTGTATATGTATTTATGTGTGTATATATATGTGTGTGTGTGTGTATGCAATTCATTCCTTTTCATTGCTGAGTAGTATTCCCCATGTGTGGATATATACAAATTCATTTATCAGTTCTCCAGTTGGAAAACATTCAGATTGTTTCCAGTTCTGTGGCTGTTATGAAGAAGGCTGCCATTAACATGATTGTGTTCATCTTTGTTTGGACATATGTTTTCAATTTCTGGGTTAATACTTAGAGATGGAATCCCTGGACTGTATACTAAGTTTATGTTTACTGCATGAGACTCTCAGAATGTTCTCCAAAATGATGTCTTTTTACATTCTCATCAGTAATGTATAAGGGCTCCTATGGCTTAACATTCTTCCCAAAGCTTTGTATTTTCAGTATTTTAAATTTTAATCTATGTTAATGTGTATGAAGGGGCATCTTATTGCAGTTTTAGTTTCCATTTCCCTTGTGACAAATGGTGCTGAGCCTCTTTTCACCCACTTATTAGTTATTTGTATATGTTCCTTTTTAATTGTTTCAATTTTGTCCATTTAATTGGGTTACTTTTTTTGTTATTGAGTTGTAAGAGTTCCTCATAATCTTTAAGAGTTCTTTATACTTTGGATATAAATCATCTGTCAGATACATGTTTGCAAATAATTTTTTTCCCAGTCTGTGGCCTGATTTTAGTTTTTTAACTATATTTTTTGAAGTCCTTTTTATCATTTTTGGTTTGTTTTGTGCTTTTGATCTCCTGTGTAAGAAAATTTTGCCTCCCAAGGTTGTGAAGATTTTCTCCTGTTTTTTTTTCCCCTACAAACTTTATAGTTTAAGCTTTAGGTTGATGATCCATTTTAAATAATTTATTTTTTGCATTGTATATGCTGAAGTCCATTGTATTTCACACGGATATCAAGTTGTAAGAGAACCATTTGATGAAAAAAACTACCATTTTCCTATTTAATTACCCTGGAATGTTTGTTGAAAATCATTTCACCATATATTGACAATTTCTGGACTCTTAAGTTCTGTTTCATTGTGGTACCTGATTAGCCTTAATATAATACCATGCTCAATTATTATTACAGTTTTATAGTACATCTTAAAATAAGAGTAAGTCCCCAAACTTCATCATTTTTTTCTTTTCCCCGAATTATTTTGGGTAATCTAAGTTTATTCCATTTTCTCATATATTTTAAAATCAACTTGTGAATTAAACTTACAAAGGAAAATTACTCATTAATATTAAATTCTAGTAAATTAATGATTTATTCTTATCAACTACAGTGATCTATGAATAACACCTTTTTATTTATATGTGTATCTGGGACACATCTGGACACTGCCCAGATGAGCAGAAATGTAACCTGTAATGTCTAGAACATTCTAGTATCTCTAAGTCCCAGTCTCCGTGATAGCAGAAGAACATGCTACTTCAAGGCTACCTGTTTCAAGATTTAATGCTTAGTCTTTTACGAGTAATACTCAAGATAAACATTTACTTTTTCCAGATTTCTCCTCATTCTGTCTTTTTTTCTCTTTTCTCCAGTGGTTATCTGGAAGTGTGGTATAGGATGGGCTGGAAAGGTTAGGAAATGTGTTAGTGTGGTGCTCTATAAAGAGCAGGACCCTGAACTAATTTAGTAGGAAGGGAAAGGAAGCATTAAAAATGAGCCATAGACGCCACGTCAGGGACATTGGTGACCACACCTCCACTCACCCAGCCTGTCATGCTGACTCCAATATATGGTTCATGGGATTTGTCCTTTTCTGTATCCTTTCCCACATATTTATAGTAAGTAAACAAATGTGTTTTTATCTCTTCTGTCACTTTATGCTGTGAAATTTCAAAATGATTCTAGCTTGTTAATTTGCTCCAGCAGTTAAGCTTTTTATTTCATATATATGTATGTGTATATGTATACTCATATTTATATATGATACACTATTCACTCTTACCAGCAAGGCTGCAGAAAATTCAGGGGATTTAGTTCACAATACTTTAGCAAAGATTCTAGTGCCCCCTTGTGGTGTTTGAGGTGATTACTGGCTGATGATTTTCCCCCAGCATTTCCCTGGTTATGAAGTTGATTTTCTTTTTTTTTTTTAAAGAAAAACACCTTATCTCTCTGAAAAGTAAATTTTATTTTTAATATTTGACTTAAAGTCATTTGAGTGAAACCTAGCTATAGCTTTTAGTTTATTTAAAAAGACATTGAATATAAATATAATGGACCCCTTTCAAGTCAAGTTTTCACTTTATACACATTTTTACTGTATGTAGGTTTTTATTTTAGACTAATTCTGAATTGGATTGTTCTCTACAAGTCTTCAAACGCTACAGCAATTTAACAATGCTATAGGTTTTAGGTCATTGCTAGATATGTATAATGTAGTGTGATGGTGATTGCTCTGTCTTTATGGTACTTTAAGGTCTCTGTACAAAATAGTGCACTTCAAACTCAACAAAGATAAATTGACCTTAATTAAAGGAAAAATAAGGTTAGGAATGAAGACTTTTCATATATTATCTATTGTATTATTCATTGTCTCACTTATTAGAATATGGAGGAAATGATTTTGTTTTAGACATTAAAAATTTGTCATTACTCTAAAAGATTAATGAAGGAGGTTTAACTTAATTACAAAGATAATATTCAACATGCCTGAGTAGATTATATGTTGAGAGAGAGAGTTATGACATAAATAAATGAAGAAATTGTGAAGATCAAATATTAAAAATGTAGATTCTTCAGCTGGAGGTTAATAGCCGCTGCTCATTACTGGAAATTGCTGGAACTCCCCTTGGGGTGTTAAGGGACTCAAATTCCTACTGGTGACCCATGACAATCTCCTGGAGGGTCCATGGAGTTGTTCGTGTAAACATGTGAGATATGCTGACACTTAAACACTTTTCCTTTTTTAAGGAATTAATAATAGAAAATTTATATTTAATGAGAGATGTTACCTGAAGTGTATCACTTCAAGCAGGTCAAGTCATTCTTCTGCGACTTCGTCCTTCTTCCTTGGACATGTCACGGATGGTTTTTTTAGACCAGCAAGTGGAAGCAGAGCTTATTGTCTGCACAATGTTTTTTTCTTAGTGATATTTTAAAAACACCGACTCAGTTTCTAATCTTTTATTATTTTTTGTCACTTAGGTGACTGAAAACAGGGCAGCCAAACAGGGCAGCCAGCAGGGGTCAGGCTTTTCAAGGGTAATGGCACTGAAACTTCCATCTTCGTTCAGTAACTTTTCAGAACCTACACGTTTCATCAGCCTTATACCCTTCAGAACTGAATGCTTACCAGCTGTATTGTTAATAGAGCCAAAACAAATTTGTGAGGAAGTGTGAGGCTCTGGGAAAGCTTTCTAAGTCAAAAGTATTTGGCTAAAAGTAATACCCATCTGATACTAAACCAAAGATTTTTTTTTTAATTTCTTATTTTATCTGCATTTCTTCTGGCAACTGCTGCTGAGCTCATCAGTGACCTGCATTAGATTAACTACCTGTGTAGAAGCGCACAAATATGAAGTCCATTTTAGACTGTTGAAAAGTAACGGAAACATATAAAAATGCTTTTGTTCTAAATTTGACTAATTATGGTTATTTATTTTAAAATTCAGGACCTGGCCTTTCATTATCAAAAGCCCCAAGCAGTATAAAAACCTTTCTTTCATGGATGCAATGAATAAGTTTAAATGGACTAAGAAGGAAGGTCTTGCCTTCAATAAGCTTGTCCTCAGCCTACCGGTGAACGTGAGATGTTCAAAGACAGACAACGCAGAGTGGTCGGTAAGCCATACTTGGTTTTAATCTCTGGGGAAACCAGATGTTACATCTTACCCGAATTCACAATAGATAAAATCCAAGAAACAGACAAATACCCATAAATCCAACGGTCCAGTTATCTTTTGATGTGGCTGATCATTTATTTGTTCCGTGATTACTTAGGTTGACCGCAAACTCCCGATATCACTCTTTCTGAAGAAGGAAATTTATTCTAAAGCTAAAGTTGGAGTGAAGGAGGAACAAGATGGGATGAGGGCTTCAAAAACCGACAGGGCTCGTTTTGTATCTCTTTTTCCCCAGAGGCGTGTCCGGAAATCCCTGAGGTGCCGACTCCCGGCACTGGGCGACTTCAGCGACCGTCCCCCCACCCTCGCCCCAGCCCTTCATCCCTGCAGAAGAACAGGGGCTGAGCAGGTTTGGCCACAGCCCTGCTTTTAAATCAGCCCCTCAGTGGCGTCCTCTGCTCTTTGCTTTTCAGATTCAAGGGATGACAGCCTTACCTCCAGATATAGAAAGACCCTATAAAGCGGAGCCTGTGGTGTGTGCAGCATCTTCCTCTTCTTTGCACGGAAGTGTCTCTCTCAAGCTGCTTCTGTGGTCCTCGGTCCTGGGCGGGGCGCTAAGCAGCTCCCGCTCGTGGCCGTAATCCTGTTGTGCTCGGGGACCACGTTTTCTGTGATCTGAACCTGACGCTGAATGTGCAGGTTAGAGACACTCTGGGCGTGAGGGGTGAGCGTGAAGGGGGTGGAGGCCTTCCTTTCTACGTCCCCTGCCTCCCCTCCCCGTCCTTCTCAGGCTCTTTGAGGGATGTCCGTTGGCTTCTCGTCTTTTGCTCAGAAATGTCTGATAAAATGTATCCATCGCCAAATAAAGCAAAACTGGCCTGACTTAACCTTTAAAAAAATTTGGACAAGTCAAGTGAAAGTACAAGAATTATTTCCTTCTGTGTTTTATTTTATTGAAATACTCATGGTTGCTGTTTTACTTTTTAAAATGTTTGACTTGGTTTCTATATTCCTCTTTAAAAATGTTTTCATCTTAAAGATGTAAAAGGAGGTACTCTCCATCCAGTTTGCTTCCTCTTTTTTGCTCTCTGGGTGTGATTTCCCCAGTCTAACGGCGGACCCTCCCATCTCACGGCGTTTTTCCGGTTCTGTCCTTTTCTGTGAATTACCTGTGGGACCCTGACCTCAGCGCTTTCTGATGATGCCCGTTCTTTGTTTCCTGAGTCTCTTGGTCCTCCCAAACTATCCTGACCCCATCTCAGAGTACTTTTCTTTTTTCCTTCCCTGCTCAGCACTGGCCAGGTGAGTTTTTTCCTTGAGCTCTGACACTGTCTAAAAAGAAAGGCTATGGGAATCACGGGCATGGTACCTAACTGATGGTAGGCTGAGGAGAAAATGTAGCTGGCTGCAGATGCTGTGCTGTGAGGGGTCTTTTATGAGGGTCCAGGTCAAAGGGCAGATAGTGTGAACCAGCTGAGGAGGGTGTGAGGTACCTCCCTGACCACGTGGCATGTAACACGTGCTGCATACTGGCTCAATTTGAGTCACAGTTGCTATTGTAGATTTATTTTTATATTAGTTAATAAACTAACTTTCTATAAGAAAATTGTCACCACTTGAAAATCTTGTCACCTTTTTTGTTTCCCTTTGTATAGATCAGCCAAATCTTGTTTTGTGTCTTTTGCTCATTTCTTAAGCTAAATCCTGTTTGGATCATATTAATAAACTAAATAAAATTAAATTTCTGTGTGGTACCTTGTATACTCCTTGAGAGAAGCAAGCAGTTCAATACTGATGTTGCCAGTCAAATCAATTCAGAACGTTGCAATTTTTCTCTTCCATTTTTAAGCCCTTTCTGCCCAGCAAAACATGTCTTCAACACAAACTGTATTGTCTTAAATAAATACTGTGTTTTGGAGTTTTGCCTTCTTGGTTCTTAGAATTTGTCCATCTAATGAAATGTTCGTAATATTTATGAGGAATATTTTATCACTGACTTGACTTCTTTTTATTTCATAGGTGCTACATCAGATTCTATGATTTCCCATCCAAATATTTGTACAAGAAATATGATCATCTCAAATACTCTCTATTTGAAATTTCATGTTTATTTTTGCTTCAGAATTTCTGAATCTGAGCCATCAAAGTAAAATGATTTCCTTTGGAAATTGTGTAATATTATATTTGTTTTCATTGTTCTTGGTAAAGAAGGTGAACATACCGGCTTAAAAAGCATACATGGCTTTTGGAGGCTCGCATTTTTGGAGCCCAGGGAACCTATTTTTCCTGTTGATGTTGCTAAGAATTAAGCTGACATCCTTCTTCTCATAGGAATTCTCATGAATATATATAATTTTGAGGCATTGACCCTGGTTTTGAAGTTAAGGAGGTTTATCTGTTGAATATTCAGTAGGATTCTGATTATATTCTAAGTTAGTTTGCTTTTATATTGAGCAGAGCTTCCTGAACAGCCTAAGCTTTTTATTGCTGCCCTGTATCGAGTCCATCACCTGTTTCCTAAGCTATCAGGAAGGACCCAGGGGAGAACAGAGTCTTCATGTACGATGGTCCCTAGTTCGAGCCTCTGTGTAGGGAGGGTGGGAGAGACATACATGATGAAACCAAAACTCATCAGGGCCATTTGAGGTTGAGGGTACCTTGGGTGATCTTTTTCTCTGAAGTCATCTCAGGCAGAATCAAGGGAATCCTAGCAGTGCTGAGGGATGCAGTCAACGGGGCAGACTTATTAAGAGCTTTGAACTTTATCCTAATGGCTTCAGAGTCCAATGATGAGTGACAAATGAGGATAAATGGAAGCAGGATATAACTGCACTGTACAATATGCTTAACTGAACTCTTACTATTGGACTTAGAGGCCATTTCCAGTTTTTCAGTATGATAAACACTGCTGTCTGCAGAGAGAGGATAATTCAAATATAGTAAAATGATGACAATTGAGGACTATGGGTGAAGGATATAGGAGTTTTTTTTTAAATAGTATTCTTGCAGCTTTTTAAAATTTTGAAATACTTCAGAATAAAAAGTTACAAATGCAGATGAAATCAAATAAAATAATGAAAGATTCACCTACAGTAAAGTGAGCCAGCAGGTTATCTCCCATAGACAATGGTCCTACCATTTTGGGGAAGGGGGGCAAAGAGAAGGTTGGATTGTGATTACTCCTTAGAGGCCCATGGGAGAGGGTGGGGATGACTGGCAGTTTGACAGTTTTGAGGTCCAGAACAAAGGACTTGAAAAATCCAGGGATTTAGGAAAGATCCCAAAACAAAAATGAGAGGCTTTAGAGTTGGAAAGCATTAAAAAATATGTATCATTTATTTTGTGTTTTTCACCCTGATTATAAATCGAGTGTGTAGTAATGCCTATTCATCAAAGAAAACTTTTAAAATATGGTAACTTCAAAAAAAAACCTCCCCAGATCTGTTGATCCTATTACACTGTTAACCTTTTGGTGTATAGCTTCTAGTAAATGTCTGTGAAAGTATTTATTTATGCGAATCCAAGAATGATGTTGTTTTTCACAGGCCATTTAGTACTCATATGAAGCACTCTGTTCTTTAAAACTCCATAGTCTTCAAATTATAAAATCACAGTGTTTGGAGTAAACTACGGTTTCACTCCCCCCAGCCAGGAGCCATGTATGGGCAGTGCACTAGGAGAACTGAGCAAATATGCTAACTAAGTCTACTCCTGGGGTTGCCCGTTCCCTTCTGTCACTTTTGTGATTGCTAATGAGCTAGAGAAATTTTCTTTTATATTCTTTTAAAATCTTCTAGTTTTATGATTCACAGAGATTTCCTGCAGTCTGTCCTTTGCTTAATTGAATATGGTTGTAAATATGCGTTCTGCAGAAAGTCCACGTACAGCCTTTAAACAATTTTAACTTTTCATCCATCATTCACCCTTGTGCCAGACACCCTGCTACAGACTTGAAATACATTGATGAGCAAGAAAACTCAAGTTAAAATTCAGAAGAAAAACAGATTGTGGATATGACTTTAAACAACTCTCTTACTTTTGATCCCTCTGTGCATAGCTAATACAGCATCAACTCTGATAGCCAGAGGGCTTAGTTTTTTTTCACCTATAGTAGACATCCTTACTTATCATATTTGACATGTATATTATGTACAATTGTTAGTGTTAGTGATATTTTTAGGATGATTAACTTATTTTCTGTATTATCTACAGATGAATTTATTTAAATTTAATAGTTTAAAAAAGCTTCTTTTAAGTAAGGTATGCCTGCATCTCCAACAAGAACATTATTTTTCATAATATTGGATCCATTCAACTCCATCTAATATATGAATTATACTTGTGTGTACTCTGCTTACAAGAGCATAAGGGGTGGGGTGAGTGGGCAGAGAGCCCTTCAAGGAGAGCTCGGTTTGTGCGCTGTGGCTAATATTGTGTATCTACAGAAAAACACTTTTACTTGGAATTGTTACACAATGCTTAGTCTCCGGGTCATAGTAGCATTTAGTGCTTATTCTGATGTAAAGAATTGACATGAAATCTTTGCCTTCATTACAATGAATACAGACTGATTTAAAGTTAACCCAAGTACAAAGAAGAAGGTAGAATAAAATATTAAAATTTTTAAAATCCTCTTTAAATAGTCATTTTAAAATTCATGTCCATTAGGTTTCTCAAAAAACTAAAAATAGACTTACCATATGATCCAGCAATCCCACTCCTAGGCATTTATCTGGAATAAAATATAATTTGAAAAGACACATGCACCTCAATATTCACCACAGCACTATTTACAACAGCAAGACATGGAAATAACCCAAATGTCCATCGACAGATGACTGGATAAAGAAGATGTGGTATATATATTCAGTGGAATGCTACTCAGCCATAAGAAGAATAAAATACTGCTATTTGCAGCAACATGGGTGGACCCAGAGATTATCATACTAAGTGAAGTAAGTCAGAAAGAGAAAGAAAAATACCGTATAATATCACTTATATGTGGAATCTAAAAAAAGGACACAAATGAACTTATCTACAAAACAGAAACGGACTCACAGACGTAAGGAACAAACTTATGGTTACCAGGGATTAAAAATGGTGGGAAAGGATAAACTGGGAGTTCAAAATTTGCACCCCTTGAGGAGTGATGGAAATGTTAGCTATCTTGATCGTGGTGGTGGTTTCACTGGTGTATACCTCTGTCAAAATTCATCAAATCGTACATCTGAAATATGTGGTTTACTGTGCAGGAATCATACCACAATAAAAGTATTAAAAAATTCGTGTCCATTAGACTGTCCAATGCGGTTTAAGTGAACAGTTTTCATCATTTTCCTCTGTAACCCCTATAGAGTTCAGCACAGTGATTTGCCTGTAGTAATTTCATTATAGGTATTAGTTAAATAATTCTGAAATAATTAGGGTCTAATTACGCTTTAAAATTTTTTTAAGTAGGTTGTTAATTTCCAGTAGGCTAAGTATGTTTAGTATTGAAAACTCCAAAAATTCTGAATTTGTTTTGTACCCAAAGTGATTTAAAGCATGTAATGTCAGACTAAGTAAATCAAACTTTTTCATATAAAGTTCTTTTATGGGATATCTTATGGTTGGTAGAAAAACACAGTAACCAGGACTATAAGACTAGCTTAAGGCCACGTCTTGTGGGAGGGGCTTGCGTTATAAACAGACAAAAAGGGTTCTGGTGATCGGCATCTCATTAATTCAGAAGTTTATAGAATGGATAACTCTGCCTTACTGGCTGCTGCCTAAAATTTTAAAAATATGATTATTTCTTGGTAATTGGAAAGTTAATATATTAAATATTATTCCTTCCTAAGAGAGAAGGAATTTAGTGGAATGTGGTGAGGTAACAGGGTTGGCAGAGATGAACCGGGCG